GGCTTTGGGGGAGCGGGGCACAAACATGAGGGCGACTGCCATACACCTCAGCCTAGACAAAGGTTAGAAAAAGAGGGGCTGAGGCTCTCTGAAGGCAGAATGCGGGGGGAAATTCGCCAGGGAAATCAGGAAAAGGCCATGAAAGCGCTCGCTGCCTGCACATGACCAGCCGCAGCCAATGACGAGCCCAAATAGGTCATAAAAAGGTCTATTACCAAGTTGTAAATTTTCTTCAAACAAAAAGGAATTTACTGCAATTCCTTGCGGATTTTGCACATACTGCTTCCCAGCGCCATGTTTCTTTCGCCTGCGCGCTGCGCTTTTACTGAGGCTCCGGTCCCGCCTGCCCTCGGCCTGCGCGCCACGGGCGCTGTGGCGGAGCCCCACGAGCACGGCGGGGGCGCGGGAGATCCGCGCGGGGGCGCGGAGAGAGGGGCAAGCCGTCGCGGAACCGCATAAAGAGGGGCACGGCACTGTGCCGAAGGATCCGTTTCTTGCCAAACGAAAGGGGGCTTAACCCGCATCCCCACCCTCTTCTCCCACCCCTCCCCACCACTCCGCCGGGCACTAAAAGAAACCACATCTGCTTTAGCGCCCACTACTGAAGCGGAAGCCGTCGCCGACATAAAAATGGTCCGAGGCTCTTCCCCACCCCGCCGTGTGCGGTTCCCGCAGGTTGCGCCGGGCACTGTCACCGCGCCCAGGGCAAGCTGCCTCCGCCCCCGATAGATATTCCCGGGGCACCAGCAGGGAAAATCCGATTCCTAGAAAGTATTCTAAAACAAATTTAAATGAGCCTGTGTCCACTAGGAATATTCGGCTCGGAGACGGAATACTGTGGATGTTCTAGCTCAAGTTTTGTTTCAGGGAATAGCCAGAGCCCTCAATCCGTGACCTCCGTGCCGGTTGTAACTGCTAACAAAAGTAAACACGCCTAAAGATGTAGGATCGAGGTTGGATCTTTTTAACACGCTGCTTCAGGCAGTTGCACACCTTTGAATGTTGCCTCGGCGGAGGCTATGGCATCTCTCGTGGTGTCCCTGCGGCACTCACGGCCGCGCTGAGCTGCTCCTCAGGGAACGGAGAAATTCCGCGGAAACCAAAGGCGCAGTACATCCACCCCTCGGCCGCCTCAGGCGGCCTCTCGCCGCCCCTCCCGCCGCAACCCGCGCAGCTACGGCTTTTCCTGGCCAAAAGTCCGATGGCTCCGGTTTTACAGGGGACTCAGTGGCCGCCTGGCTCAATTCCTGACTCCGTTATCTTTTTTCTTTGCAAGTTTCCAAGTGAAACCGAGGGAGAGATTCAGATGCCAGGCTATGGGGGTAAATGCCTTAACAACTATAGCGATGTTTTGTTATCCTTAATGACTAAGACAGGGGCAATTCCAGTTACCACTAGGCCTTGGCCAATTCTGCGGGCTCAGGGAAGTCAGTTTTTGCCTGCGTGGCTGCGTTCCCAGTCGGTCCTAGGAGAGCAACGCAACGGAAACTTCTTCAGGAATATTTTAATTTTATTCTTTGTCTGATAATTAAAAACAACTACCGCAGCAGCTCTTTTCCGGACAAACACCAGCCTAAGGAGTGTTCCGCTGGTGTGTGAAGGTCCTCGACGTGCGGGCAGCTCGCGATGGCAGCAGGCGGCACCGGCATGGCGTTCCCGCAGCAGGGCCGCCGGAACCGCTTTAAGTCCAGCCTCTGCCGCCAGCGCAGCAAAAAGCGAGAGGCTTTTCCTGCCCGGAGACCAAATATGTCGGTGCCACTAGCACGCGTATTGTTTTGAAAAGCCAGGGGGTTTTGCGTGTCGGGCCACGGGGTACTTTATACGTGCAGCTACCAGCCCCATATCCTCCCCTGACACTACGGGTACTGGTGTATTTATGCAAATCCATGCAGCAAAAATGTTTCTTTCACTACTTTGTTGCAGCTTCCCCTTGTTTACAACCTTTAGCCAGCTAGGCGATTAAAATAAAACCAAGAACAATAGCTCCGCTCGCTCGTGCCTCCCTCCAGAGCTGGCGCTTTGCAGCAGTGGAAACGTGCCTGCCTCGGTGGTGGAGCGGGGAAGGGAAACGAAATAAACTCAACCCGCCCCGCAGGTCCCGTGCCCGCGGACGGCAGTTCCCGCAGCGCCGGGTGCGCTCCCGGAGCGGAGCGAGGGAAGGGCCCAGCGGCGGGCGGCACGGCCTCGGGAACCGGGCTGCGATTGTCCGAGCAAGGCCTCGCCTCAGCCCCGGCCTCGTCGGGATCACGCTCGTCTCTGGGCAGAAAATACAATTATATGTCTTGTTTGTCGCAGTTTCTGGCGCGTCCATTCGATTTCCTTCACGGAGCCATTACTCAGGGGAGCGTCAGCCGGTAGGGAAAAAAATGGCGCAAAAATCTTGGTTGAGATTTATACCTCATCCCTCGACCCTCTGCCTGCTGCTCCTAAAAAGGACTGCTCTCGGCCGCCCTGTTTGATACCGCGCTCTGCGGGACCCTGCAGGGAACGGGAGCGAGAGGAGGGAGGGCAGAGAGAAATTAAATTGTTTTGTTAATCAGAGCGGACCTTTCCTCCCGTGGTTGCCGGAACCATGAGGCAGGCTCTATCCTCAGCTGCGGCCTCCGCTGGGAAATGCATCATATGATAATATTTAGGGGCAGAAACATCTTTCTCTCGGTCTACGCATGGCTTGGGACTCCTAAGAATTACAGCCCTCCCGAAACCCCGCAAGGTCGCAAAAGCTTTGTATTTCCCTGCTCGTCAGCCATCCTCGGGGGAGGTTGGGCCAGTTTTGGTTTTCTTGGAGCAGCCCTTGGGGATGCCGTGGGGCCGGAACGCTCTGCGGGCTCGCTCTCTGCAGCAAATGCTCCCTAGGGCAGGGCCGAGGTTGGGGCAGCGCTGTCCCGCACGGGTGCGGGTAGGAACAAGGGAGAGCAGGGCCCGGGCACACACGGGGGCGGGAACAGGGGAGAGCAGGGCCCGGCACACATCGGGGCCGGTCCGCAGCCCGGGATGAGCGGCAGGAACAAACAGGCGGGAGCAGGGCCCGGGCACACACCGCGGACGGTCCGCAGCCTGCGCTCCGCTCGCAGGTGAGGCCGCGGTCCCCGCTGGCCGCTGCTTGGACCGCGGCAGCGCAGCTGCTCGCAAAAAGCAGATTTTATACACAATGCGCCATTTCTAGACCCCGCAGAAACACGGAGGAGAGACGGCCGAGACTCTGGATGTTCCTTGAGGAGTAGATTACAAAAGGAATATAGAGAGGCCGATACATTTTATAATCGAATAAATTCAGTTTATTTTAATCAAATATTATAGAAGAAGGTTAAATATATTCCTATGATATTGTCTTCAAGATTATTAATTTAATTTATTCAACATAAGATAAAAACAAGAATTAAAATAGTACAAGTGCACTTGTCTTGATTAATAAAGCATTGTTAAATGTCTTACTTATTAATATTTATTATTAGGAAGTTTATGTTGTTTCCCACAATCACCGTCCATTAAGATTGCAAATATATATATATATATGTATATCATTAGAAATTTATTGCTAGAAACTCTTTATCAAATTTGAAAAAATAAGTAGAGGAAATGTTAAATCTAGAGATAGTTCTGGATACGCTAATAAACAAAATAAAAGCACAAACAAGTGAAGCACCCGAAGCAGGGAGATGTCAAACGGAGGGACATGGGGTCACTCGTCCCACGACAAGATCACGTAGAGGTGTGGATGAGCCGAGATGTCGGGCTTTAGCCCTGCTTATTTTTGATTGACTTTCACAAAGACATTTGGGGCAAAAATTAATTCGTCTGGCCTTCAGCTCTGTCTTCTTCCAGATCATGTGCTTCCTTTTTGGCCTCCCCTTCCTTTCCCTCCTGTCTGGAAGCGGGGAATTTGTCCTTGTTGTTCTCTTTTTTCCATTTCATCCTCCTGTTCTGAAACCAGATCTTTACCTGCCTCTCGGTGAGTCCTAATGCGTGGGACACCTCGATCCTTCTCTTCCTGGTCAGATAGGGGTTAAATAGGAACTCCTTTTCCAGCTCTAGAGTCTGGAATCGGCTGTATGTTTGTCTTCCTCTCCTCCTACCCGGCGCTGCTGTTTAAAACAAAAACATAGGGGTTTGGAGGTTGCTGTGGCCGTTCAAAACAAGGCACAGGCAGGCAGAGAGGACCCCGGTGCCTCCGGAATCCCTCGAGAGAAGCCCCACAGAACCGCAGGGAGAGAAGGCAGAGGGCACAGAGGAGTCTAGAGCTTTGCACTTGAGTGAGAGGAACACAGCGACGGCAAATGCACGAAGCGCCTCAGCTGTCCTCCTGCATAGGATGCTGCGGGGTCACTTTATCATCTTGTACACCACCCCCTTCCCGACCCCGCACCCTTCCCTCTCGGGCAGCGGCCACGGGAGACAGGCGAGCGTGTCAGCTGCGCCTAGGCGTCCGACAGGCGTCTCAAAGGCTACTCCTGGGTCGGGAGCTGCTTGCTGCAGAGGTTTCTGCTTGCTCACTGCATCTCTTTATTATCGCAAGCCACCGCGGTGATAGGACTCGCGGTGAGAGAGGTAGGGAGTGGGGGAGACAGAGGCAGGGAGCGAGAGTCAGCGAGAAAGAAGCAGGAGGCGGAAAAGAAAGTTTCAAACTCAGACGTGAGATGGAAGCAAATTTTTGACTGCGTCCAACCTTGTGGTCTCATCCAGGGAAACATTTGAGCAGGAGACGAGCTCTGATTTAAGTGGTCTGGTTCCTCGCCAATATTAGCACTGGACGATTTACAGTCAGGATATTGTACCAGCTCGGCCTCTTGCTGTGTCGTAAAAATCTGCTGTCTCTGTAAGTTATCGTATCCGTAAAATTTAGCGGGCTCCCCGTGACAGGTAACCCCGCTGCAGGGGGCAGGAGGCGGAGGCGCGGC